CTGGCATCTCTCTTCCTTCCGTGTCTCTGTCTGAAAACCCTCTGGGGGCTGGCTCCTTATGTACACGCACTCCTCATCCATTTCAAACCATGCCCTTGAGGGGTAGGGGTGGACAAGTAGAAATGCACCCATCGCCTCTGGAGGCCACAGAAATGGCATTTATGTAGCAGGTGGTAGTCACCTCCTTTGCAGAGACAATTGCCCATGTCTGCAAGATGTGTACTGTTCACAGACCACAGCGTCAGACTGAGCTGTTGCCAGCTTACCCAGGAAATAGCCGCCAATCTAGACAAACGTTACAGGACCTTTGGGTTAGAAAACTCCGGCAAGGTGATTCCTCAAGGGCTTAAGGGGACAACCCTTAGCTGCTGCTATTACTGTTTTAAGAATCAAGGCAGAAGGCCACATGCAGGAAAATTCATTTCATCAGAATGGCCCAAGTTTTCATGACCTGGGTAACAATGTGGACATCAGGATGTTGTGTCTCAGGCTCTGTCTTGTTCTAAAACATCATGTTTAACTCCCAGGGGAAGTCTCTAGAAATAGGATTTCTTTCTTGAATAATATGCATTAGAATTTTAATTTGGGTATTTTTAAACTGCTCTTTCAAAGAGATTTTATTTAACCTTCATGAATTTGTTTTTTGAATAGGATATCCTTTTGTTAAATTTGAATAAGCTCCCACTAGTGTACCCCTCGACAGTGGAGTACAGGAGCCACCTCCTGCACGGTGCAGCCCAGAGCCGGCAGTGCCCCTTGCAGCCACCGTCCTGCTGCTTCCCGCCTGCCCCTGGCCAGGGCAGGCCTGGTGGGCGGTCACGGTTCACCCTGCCTGCTTGCGCTCCCTCCCTCCTTTCTGAGGCGTGTCACCTGTGCCTCATCAGGCCCGGGGCGTGTGGATGCTGCCCTTCTGCACCCACTGCAGGCCAGAACCCCGCTCTTTCCAAGCCGACACCTCTGTGTGCGCCGTTGTACAGTGAGGCTCCGGGGAGCGGCTTTCCCGCCCACGCATCCCGTTTTCTTTCTGCTGCTTCAAATGGACATCCTAGCTCCTCTGCCCGTATTACTGTGTAGCCTGAGTTCTGTGGTCAGAAACCTGGGGACCGTTTCCCTTCGAGCTTTCAGACCATGTATTGTCCATGCTTCTGAGATTGTATTTTTTTGATCTGTGTCATATCTCCACAAATGTGTACCGTGTGTAGTTTACATGGGAAAGCCTGTGTATTTACTGTGACTGCCAGATCCCCTGCCAGGGCCCCTGCACGAGGAAAACTGCCTCACCGTCTCCACGGGACGGGGTTGTCCCGGAGGGCAGTGCCGTGTGGAGGGGCAGCAGGGTGGGTGCAGTGAGCCCTGATACTTCTTGTCTTGCCCAGAAGAACCCGCAGTGCGGGGCCGCCTGACGGAGTGCCTGGAGACGATCCTCAACAAGGCCCAGGAGCCACCCAAGTCCAAGAAGGTGCAGCATTCCAACGCCAGGAACGCGGTGCTCTTCGAGGCCATCAGCCTGATCATCCACCACGACAGGTGAGCCCAGGCTGCGCCCTGCGGCTGGCCTCTGCTGTCGTCTCAGGGGCCGGCTGCCTGTGTCCGTGCCGGTCTTAGGCCGGGGCGTGTGATGAGCCTCTGTCTTCACCTGGGAGACCCTTCCCTTGCGCTCTGCTGCTTAGCTCCCTCATCTCTCTCCACTCCCTCACAGCCTCCTCCCGCCCCGCCCACTTCTCTTAGGCCTTCACACTGTCCGCTTTTGCTTCAGTGTTTCATGCTCGCTCGAGTATCTCTTGTACCTGAATTCCGAATCTCAGGAACAGGTTTGGTGCATTAAACGGCTGTGAGGTGGCATCAAGAGCAGCATCCATGAAGAAAGCGAAGGGCCATTGGAAAGGCAGGCTCCAAGGGGACGTCAGGAGAGACTGACGTGAGCTTTTCATTGCGGAGTATCCAAGGCGCCGGAAGAAAGGATGAAGTCACGGAGCTGAACCAACTTCAAAGGGCAGCTCAAGAAGACAAAAGTCAAGTGTTAAAATGAAATGCGCAAAGATCTAGAATTAGAAAAGCAAATAGGAAGAACACTCTCAGCTTCTCTTAAACTGAAAGAACTTCAGAAAAAAGTCAAGCTTTGCTGAAGTTACAATAATCGAAAGATTCTATGGGCAAAACATTGATCGCTACAGGAAGCATCAAAAGAAGATAGAAGACAGTGATTCACGGCACCAGGAAGAGCTAGTCGACCGCTCACCGTTTCAGAAGGAGGCATGCAAGTAGGAACCAGTGTGCTGAAGGAAGAAGTCCAGTGCACTAGGAAGCATGAGCCAGGAACACGGCTCCAGGAGCCGACGGAGTAACGAGTGCCGTGCTGCCACACGCGGATGAAGCACCGACTCGGCTGTGCCAGGGGACCAGAAGACAAGGACTTGCCCAGCTGACTGTAAGCGGCTCCTCTCTGTGCCCATTCCAAAGAAAGGTGACTGGACAGAGTGCAGTGTCATCGACTTCAGATGCAAGTAACATTCTGCTGAGGATCATCCGACAATGGCTGCGGCAGTGCACTGCCAGGCTGCCGAAGGCGCAGGCCCGATTCAGAAGAGGGCGTGGAGCAAGGGAGATCATTGCTGACGTCAGAGGGATCTGAGCGGGAAACAGAGAGTATGCAAAGGCATTTGACTGTGTGGATCCTAGCAAACTGGATCTCCTCGAGAAGAATGAGAATCCCAGAACACTTGAGGTCCGGGAGTCCAGCTTATAAAGACGATTGCAGCATCAGGATTGGAGGAGGGCTTATGACGAACCCGGGACCAGCAGACTACCCCACTGTGCTTGCTGAAAGTAAGGACTAAGCAATCGCCTCGTTATGTCTCAGTGCTTTGGGCGTGCATAGCTCCTTGTCCAGACCATTGGCGTGTGACACACACACACACACACACACACACACACACACACACACACATGCGCGCGCTAGAACTCTCCCAGAGAAAAGAACCCCAACCCCAAGGTATTTCATC